AAATTTGAATGTATTATTATTAAAAAAAAGTATGTGGCCTACAACAACTTCTACCTATATGATGTGGCCTAGTCTTCACAAAGGGTTGGACACTCTTGCTCTATATTATTCTGTAACATGGCAATTACAAAAATATACGTATGACTTATTATCTATTTTTTTTCTCAGTAGTATCAAATTTTTGGATAACTAAATATGTATTGAAAACATATAATTTACATTATTAGAAAATTGTTTTGAATTTAAAATTGAAATAAACATCTGAATTACGAACAGAAACATAAAAGGATCAGCAAATAAGAACAAATAAAACAAATAATAAAATAGTAGATGTTTTTTAAACTTCACTTTTCAAAATAACAAATATAAAAACTGAATTTGAATTAGCAAAATTAATTCAATTGAAACAAATTAATAGTGAATAAATAATTATAAAAGCTATTATTATTTACGTACGATTTAAATAATGTTATATGAAGATTCGGTATACCTACCTATTTGAATGGCTATTATAAATTTTAAATTGTTAATATGTTTAGTGACCAGCTAATAAGTATAATAATATAAATGATATTATTCATATATTATTAGATATTTGCTACGTGTATAGCTTCGTTGTTCATTTTCTCAACTACGACCCTTGCTTTGAGTTTACTTGCATTGCATTGTATCCAAATACCATTCGCTTTGCTGTTAGTCCGTATTTATTTCTTGACTATTGTAGGTACATATAAAGGACAGGATATTCGGTATAGATACCCATTATTATATCCCATTAGTAGACAATGCTTATGTTGTTGGTTTACCTATAAAAATGTAGGTATATAACATAACATATAATAAGTTTAAGAAGTAGAACATATTAATGTATACTGTTTAGTAATGATAACAATTCATTTATTTCCGATTATAATTCGTAGTAATTTGTAATAAATGTTTATATTTTGTAAATTATTTTTAAATTGCCCTAACACTATATAGTAAATTCTTGTATTCTGTTGACTTAATTGTACCTACGTACAAAAGACAGGATATTCGGTATATCCATAATTATTTTCCATTAGTGTAGTCGTGTAGACCAGTGATATCAAACTCAAATTACCTACGGGCCATACCTATATTTTTTCAAAAAAAAATTGCGGGCCAAATTTTAAGTTTCATTTTTATACTATATTATACGAGTACACTAGAAACTAAAGACAAAATGAAGGCAAAAATACATACAAAACCCATTTATTTAAATGTGACTTAATATACCATGAACGTTAGATAATATTACTATTTAATATTTTATTAACAATTTTAACAATTATTTTTATATTTTTGTTCAAAATGTATTTTTATTACGAGCCACATAGAAAGGGTTCGCGGGCCGTATATTTGAGACCACTGGTGTAGACCTATATAATGTTGGTTTAACNATCGCTCCGCTCAGAATCTAAAATTGACTTGCTAATAACGAACGTTTTTCTTTCTATCTATAATTATGACAATTACCAGATAACATTTTAATATATATCTACAACATACCTACAATTCATATTCTATACTAAATATTTTTTACTAAAACATTAAACTGTAACTGCCTGTGTGTATAATACAAAGTAATTTTATTTACTAATGTTTATGGTATGTAATTGTTATATTTAAATACATATAATATCATATGTAAAAAGTTAAAAGTTATAGATTACAAAAGCAAAAAAATTAAATATTCGGCGGATAACAATCGCAATCTCGAGGTTTCGGGTTGACCGTGCGTGTAAGTGCAAGACTCGCTGTTTGTAACAGTGGTGGTAAAATCTCAAATTGTTTTCTCRTGAGTAAGAGAGAATCACTGATTGAATGCAATATTTGATACTTAAAAGTATAATTTAAGTTGATAAGATCATAAAAATTTAAAAAAGTTATATATATCCCCCTCACTGGCCTCATTCCTCTACATTTACCACCATCGTGACTGCATATCAACTGCGTGGACTCACCATAACGTCAATGCCGAGTGTTCGGACCATGCGCTCGACGGCCCTCCATTTAAGTAATGTGTAGAACGCGGTGCCCTGAAACGTGTCGCCGGCGTTGAGGAACAGCGCGCCGTCAGCGGTGCCGGCGTCGGCAAGTCGGCGCTCCTGGTCGACGGCGGTCTTGAGCCGTGCAAAACCACCGTAACACGGCTGTCCGGCCTCGACACATTCTGCACCGGTGGCGTCGATCTGGTCAAACCGAGAGTGCATGTCGTTAGTATGCAACACGAGCAGACGGTAATGAGTGGCCACCGTTGACTGTAGCAACAGGAACAGCACCACTATACGGAACATCCGTAGAAATTGCAGGTTAACGGCCATATCTATAGCTCAGAACCGTTTAAATTAATTATACTAGATATATCGTATTTATAACGGTAGCGAATATTTATTTATTGGACGAGAATATTTTCGCGCAGTGTAAAAACTTAGTAACGCCGTTCGAGGTGTCACGCGCGAGTTCGACTGGCCGCATGGCTGGGCGGCATCAGGATTTCAGACCGATTGAATGAGCCCCTTCCACAACACATACGCCTATCAAATACTTTTTTCCCATACCACTTTTACGAGTGATCATGAATGTGCCAACCATATTTATGGTAACGTTATGAGGAGAAAATGTGGTGGGGGATATTTTTACGCACATTTTATCTCGTTTATTTCACTAATTCAAATTTAGGTTTGCTGGAAATAATTCAATTGTAGGAGTATATCAGACCATTCATTTGGGTTGGTTTGGTATAAATAAAAAAACGGTAATACCTACCCACTAACGAACATCCAAAATAGTTTACTTGAAAACATGCAACTCGTTTTCAGAAAGTTCTTGCCGTTTTAGGGTACGATTTCCTTTTCCCCAAAAACACGTTTCCAGAAAAAAGTTTGGAAACCCATTATTTTAATTTTTAAGCAATTTATGTTGTGGTATGTGTACCTATCGTTTTTACATTTTTATAAATACTTGCAGACTAAAAATTAATAATTATTATAGTTATAATTTTATACCCCTCCTCCGGTGATATAACTGAGGGGTAACAATCGCCTGTTTCTGTAAGGAACTATAATAAATAATTATATATTCAGTGGCCACGAAACAGTAATAAAACAGTCAAGCAAACTTTCCAAAATAGGCATTATAAACCAACAAGTACCCAAAACAAAAATTTCTGAAAATTAATGAAGAGCTCAGTCTCGTCCCCACYATACCCCCTTAATATTCTATTATTTACTACAACACATATTTTAGATTCTGAACGAAATGATGAATGTATTGATTTTACAATGATGTGTGTTTTATTTTTTGTTTTTTTTTTTT